TAGACATTACGAGAATTTAACGATTACAGTTATCTGTTACGATGAGAATGATATTTTCGCATATACTACTATATCAATAATGCCACTGAATATACTCATGCTTTGCAAATATCTATGAATTTTCTATCATCGAATCGCTAATTTCTATTCCATATTTCGATAAGGATTGTTTTACCTTCATATACCACTGTATAGATATATCTCGCAAACAAATAAAATATCATTTCGAATAATATGTTATTTCGTAACTATTTCGAAGAATGCCATTTCCACGATTCATGAGAAAACGATTTTATCAAAGCTTTATTTATATTTGTAGCTTTCATTTCTACGATACGACGTTTTCTTTTTCCATTGGAATTAAACAATAATACGTTCGACGTATGCGCAATGAGATTTCATTTTTAATGATTCTAAAAAACATTATTTTGTGCCTATGCTATGATTGTATGCTTTACGATTGTCTCTATCAATTAATAAAATGATATATAAAAATTACTAATATTTCATATTTTAAATGTTATAGTTTATCAGATATTTCTAATTTTAAGATTAGAAAGATTCTAAGATTAAAAAGATATATATAATCGGAAAAAAATATTGATGTAATGTTAATTAAATCTAAGATAAATAGTGATAAAAATATTTATATAGTTATAAAAGAAAAGATTAATTTTCGATTATATAAAATAAAAGAAAGATAAAAGAAAAATAAAATTCTTGGCGAGAATATTTTTTTATTCCTATTACGATTAATCATTTTACTTCATAATTTTTCATTAATAGATAATTAGAGGAATAATTTTTCAAATTTTTTATCGTACTTTTCCGGAATGAAACGGAAAAATGTCGCAAAGAAATAATTACTTCTCTGTTAAACTTTGCACAAAAATTTATAACTTATCGACTTATTGAATCTAGAACAAAAGAAGCACGTGCTTGTGAAAGAACAGTGACATCGTTACATACCAAACAGTTGTTCTTTTATTCGAAACGGTACGTATAGATACTTAACCTTATTAAATCGTTTTCTCTCACGGTTAATTTTAATATTTGACGTTAATGTATTACAAATATGAAAGATTTCGATTTCTCTTCGAGCGAGGGAAAAAGTTAAGTTAAATTTCTATATATTTCGAGCTACAAGATTCAAGGATGCACCACACTCACCTTTGCTGTCGTTAGATTAAAAATTTGGTCGAACCGAATTTTCGCATCACAGGCACGTAAAAATTGGTGAAATCGATTGTTAATTGTCCAACGATCGCGAAAAGGAGAAATTACGTTGTGTTTTAGGACGCGGTTAATTCAGCATTGCGACGTCGCCGTGTCGTTTTAATTCGACACGTTCTCTACCGTCGAGTCGAGATCTTACACGCCACTAGACCAGAGATTCGGTTATGTTGTGTTGTTATACCTATCCCATCGGACTACACTGTGCTTCGCTAACCGACTGGTCTGCTTTTATATATCGGGTGTCCCTGATCAATCGGCGGGGACATTGTATTATACAGTAGGATATTCCTGTAAACGTGTGACTTCTTTATGCAAAATTTAATCGTAAACATCGATTTCCAGCATTGAATTTTTTTCTTCTTTTTCTACTTTCTATTTTTTTATTTTTTAAAAATTGATATTTTATTTCAATAAAAAATTTTATCATAATAATTCGTAAATAATCACTCGACGATGTATTTTAAAGTGTTGTGAATAAATAGAAAATCGCAATTATTTACATAGATATATTCCACTTTAACTATATCTAATCATTCACTAGTGGTGAAGTAATAGCACGGTTGTTTCGACAAAATTGAATCATTAAAATGTAATCAGCTAGCAGATATCTTAATTTAAGTGTCTTAAGATTCTGACTAAATCTTAAATTAATATTTTGTGTAAACAGAAAATAATTCGTTGACAATTGTTTTAAAGTGAATTTCTTATTCAATATCTTGTCTTATCTTTGCTGCCTTCAAGATTGCGTTATTGCGATAACACTGTTTCAATTTTTATCATTGCGCTATTTTACTTGACGCCAGATAATAAAGTTTTCTTTAAAAAGTAAACCAATGTGCTATTTAAACTTTTTCTATTTACTAGATATTCATCATTCTGTAAAAAAAAAAAAATCGTTTAAGAAGATAGAATATGATAGAAAAGATATATTTATTAAGAGGAGAAAGAGAAATTACTTATATTTTCAAAAATGTACGATTGCAAATATTATACATTAAATATTTAATATAAATATTATTTTGTTTCATCTGTACGTTTGAATACGTTCTTCAAAGCGTGTAAGTGCGTAACTGGTAATTTTGATCTGTCGTGTTACGCCTCCAGCGGTATATTGATGGTAGGGTATAATTTTGTGTAAAATAAAAGACAGTCAGTTTATTATTAATGTTCTTTACTGCGGAGAAATCTTTAATATTACTTGTTTGCATAATTATTCATCGCTGTAATCTTAAGTGGTTCTGACAATTAAATTTATTTGATTATTCTCGTTCTATTTTAATATTTTGATCTATTAAAAATTATAGATCTCTGTCAATCGTTAAAGACACTAACTAAGAGAAATTAAGTATAAAAATCTACAAATTGCTAAATTATTTTATTAAAAATAAATCAAATTAACAAGTTAAATAAAAAATTTTCAATTGTTTACATTAAAAGGACTTATCTATGAATAATTCATGAATTTGTAAATTAAAAATTATATTTGTATTTTTTACTACAATGTAATGAAAATAATAAAAATTTGAAAGATTTTTTTTTTAATTTAAATTTAATTTAAATATAATGCTATTAATTAATGCTAAATTTATTTATACATATTACTAAATATTATTATAAACATTGTAAATATTAATATATATCTATATAAAAAATTCGTATATTTATGATAATTTAAGCTTTTTAACATTAAGATTTTTAAAATTTTTAATCAATTTTTAAATTTTTTAATCAAATAACAAAATTAATCATTAGAACTGCCTTTTCCGTGTATAAATTTTGCAGAGCAAATAGAGTAAATAATGAGAAACAAAAATAAACAAAAAATTGTAAAATCAATGCCATCTTTAGAGTGCTGCAAATTAAATAAAGAAAGGATAAAAAATAGTAGAAATAGTAAAATAGTAGAATTGAGAAGAATAGTGTCATCTTTCGAGTATCTAAAAGATGCTTGCCTCTTAAAGGCAAGATAGAAGAAGAATTGACGCCATCTCTTAAATAGCTTTAAAGATAATTCTTCGAAAAAATATCTTTGAGACTCAAGAGATGGCGCTAACAATCAATTCTTATTCTATTTCTATCCTTTTTCTATTATTTTCTATCCTTTCTTTATATGTTTAATTTGCGACACTCTGGAGATGGCGCTGATTTCAATATTTTTATTATCTCTATCTTCTTTTTATTATTAATTTCCTTGTTTATACTATATATGCATAACCATAAGTACAACAATTGAATATATTCTCATTATTTCTCTTTTAAAATTTTTCTTCAAAACAAATGTATCTTTTTAATGTGAGAAATATAAATATTACATTCTTTAGAAATAATTAATTTAAAAATAATAAATTTAAACAAATAAAAAACTTTGTCGACTCCGCAACAAAGTTAAAGAAAAAATTTTAAAGCATTCTATATTATATTTATTTGAAATCCATAGATGTCATTGTCTTGTCTGTCGAATTACCTGTGTATAATGTGTACCTATGTATAAATAAGGAAGGAAAAATTTACGAGTCAGTTTCGTTTCGACCGTTGTGCCGTTTAGATCTATCGTAGCATAGGTGAGTTATATATTTTGTTTGCAATTAAAATTATGCGTATTCAATTTGTCTATTTTTTAAAGTTGTGTACGAATTTAACATTAAAAATATACGTTTTTTTACGCGTATTAAAATACATTTATATTTCATTTATATACTATATTTATATAATATAGTATATTAACTATTTATTTATAAATGTGATTATTTCGCGCGTTTTATTCGCGAATATTGATATTTTTATTCCTCTGTGGTTGATACACTTTATTATAAAGGCATGGGAAATTGTTTTTTTGACTGTAATACCTAAAAACGTTGAATCATATTTTGATATCGGAAAAATGTATAATGTTAATATTTCATGTTTGAATTTGATTCATATACGAATTCAATTTTCGTTTGTTACGTACAAGAAATTGAATATTAAAGAATATTTCCAACATGAATAAATATATTTTGTATTGAAGTAAAAATAAAAATGTAAAAAATTTATTTAGATAAATTTAAAAAATTTTTAAATGTAGTTTATTGATCAATTTTAGAAAATAAAAAGTAAACGTTATATTTTCATGGATAATAAAGAATTTGTCTTCCATATTATTTTATCTTTGATATTTTGTATGTATAAAATTATTTAATTTGCGTATTTGCGTTATTGTACATTATATTTTATATATATATATTGATTTAAATTTTATAAGAAATTTATTATTACTTTTAATATAATATCGTAAAGATATTATTATCTGACAAAATTATTTTTTAATCATCTTCTTCTCGGTGTATGTATAAATATTGAAAACATCGATTTGTTCTGTCTCTATAAAATATGAAAGTATGAAATTATAAAATTACACAATGAAGAAGGTATAATTAAAAAAAAAAACAAATGAAATTTTTAAGTTTTTATATCTTTTCGTAATTATTATCATTATTATTAAAAAACATTTAATTATCTTTGAAAAGTTTTATAGAAACTATGTAAAAAATCGTAATAATGTTTAATACTATCATTAATCAAATTTTTTTTAAACTATTGCTTTAATAATATTCTAAAATATTTTTAAATCATATATTTAATCATAATATTTAATATTTAATAATTAATATCAAATATTTAAATTTTAAATGAATTTTTGAAATAAAATTATAATAAGTATTAAAATACTTTTAAAATTGTTTTTGTATAAATAAAACTTGGTATAATTCAATTATCCACATCTAAAAATACATAAAACAATTTATACAACATTTTCATAGTAAACACAAATACATAATGGACTATAATGTTGATATTGGCCGTATTACGATTTCCTAGCTTTTAAATTTATTACATTGTTGCAGAATTTTCACATACCAGATTTCGAGAAACATTTGTTACGATTTAAAATTTTGTTCGTATATTTGTTTGTCATGGTTAAAAATGTTTCAAGTCCATTTTTTATTATAATTAATTTTAGCTGGAAATATATAAAGATTACATATTAGGTCACGTACTAGTATCTCGAAAAGAAAAAGAAAATAAAGACAAAAATGTTTTTTTATTCCATGTCGAGTTAGTTCGATCCATTTAAAATTTACTTACTTTCCTACATTGGACATGGGACTGAGCAGAATGAAGAAATGTAGACGAGTTCCACGTTCGTCGTACAATTTTATTGCCGGGGCGAACTCGTCTGTATCCAGCATTCGACATACACAGTTTCCTCGTCTTTTTTTTTTCTCTTTTTTTTTTTTTTTTTTTTTAATTACAGCTAGTTTCGATTGGTTGTCGACAATGTAGTCCGAGTTTTTTTCTCTTTTTTGTTTTTATTTCCTTAAACGCAATAAATAAATGAATTCGCGCGCGTGTATCATTTACGAAAACGACAATATAAAATCGTTCTGCATTAGTAAATAAATTAAGTAAACGAGCGGTATAGAAGAAGGGTGTGTAGAAGAAGTATAATCGGGATTTTGGGCGTATTTCGTATTTGATATTACAATAATACACTACCGGTTGCATTTTTCGTGTTTTTTTTATGTGTATATATGTACGTGTGTGTGCGTGCATGCATGTGTATCTCGTGTGGATTCTTACGTGAACACGCGTGCTCTGTCGCGCGCGCGCGTGCTCGCGCTCGTGAATGTCGATGGGCATTGTTCAGTCGCTAGTTCCTACGTCACATTGCACATACAGCTAACGTACAAATATAATGACGTAACGTTTCGTACGACTCTACTTCCTAAAGTCTCTATACAGCGTGACACTACCCGCCGTTCAAAGGGAGTTTTTTCTTTGGAGCTGTTTCGAGACTTGGATATTTCTGGTTCCGGGATGCTGACTGGAGAAAAAAACCGCCTCCCAATTACTCGGTCGTTCAATCGTTGGAATTTCTTCTAGATCTGCCTGCGTTGATTCTCAGTATAAAAAAAGTTGTTGCTGCTGCTGCTGCTGCTGCTGGGGGGCAGTGGGACTGGAGTATGATGACGATGTACAGGTATTAGCAAGGGGCTAGTTGCCATTCGTCGAGCGCTGCATTGCCGGAATTACTGCGTCTCTTTCAGTCCCGTAGATTTTACCGGCTTTCTTTGCCATACTGCCCAGCATTTCCATCGAACATTTATGCGCGGATCTCAGTGACAACGCCCATTCTTTCAAACTGATCTCATCCTACAAAAAAATTTATTTTTTACAGATAGAATTTTTTAATGATTCTCTTAAATTTAACTATAAATATTTTTTAATTTGTCTCTCGCTTTTTCAAAGAGATTTATTAAATCGTTATATGTGACTCACTGGATTTGTAAGTACTATTTTTGCGTCTCTCATACGGACGACAATACATTGTTCCCCTTTCACGTGCTGAAAATCCGCGCTAACTTCCTCAACCTAAAAATTTATTTACACATATATTGAAGAAATATAATATATGTTTGAGATATATATACAATTATATTATATATATATAATTAGCTATACAATTATAAATATAATAAATAATAATAATAAATATAATAAAAATATAAGTTAGATTTGAAACTAGAATTATTTTCCTTTTTTCTAAAAGACATTCTGTGATAATTTTGTAAAACTTAAATTATTCAAAATTAATTTATATATATATTTTATCTTCTATGATATTTGAAACAAAATACATAATTTCTACTATTAATCAAGTCCAATTAATATAAATTTATTTATTCGTTTACCTGGTCAAGGAAAACAAGTTCAGGCTTTGTCGTGGACTCGGGATGCAATTCTAATCTATTAGGATACAGTTTTGCATAACGCGTTTGCCACGCACTCGCGAAAGGACCACCCAATTTTTTAATATAACCGTGTAAAATGCAATCAGATCCTACAACAAATAATCTTCGATATAATAAAAATATCATTACACGATAAAATTATAATAATTTTCTTACCTTTTTCATCCGCGTCGAATCGCTGTTTCTGTTTAGCTTTTTTCTTATTTTCCAACTAAGAGGGGAAGAAGAAAAAATAAATTAAGAAGAAAAAGAAAGAAAAGAAAAAGAAAAGGAATAGAATGAAGCAATAAAATATTAATCCTTTCGTTCAATTTAATTGTATAATTAATTTATAAAAATAAGATTCAAATAAAGGAATGTCGATGATAAAAGTAACTTTAAAAATTGTACGTAAGATTATCTCGTTAAACAAACTTTTTCGCAGAGGTGTTTACATTCTGCTTCTTTCTCGAAAGAATTAAAGAAGGAAAGGAAAAGAAATGAAATAAATATCGAACGATTTGTACCTTATCCGCTTCGTTATTGATTGTCTCGAACACAGTTTCGGCTACCTCAGCTTGCCATCTCTCAGAGATGGTTAGAGGGAAATTTTTGTACAGTTCTTGATCCGCATCCGTCAATTTGATACCCTTAGTGTCTTCCTCGTCAAAGGAGCCGATATCAAAGGCATCTGCGGCGTTCACCTCGCCGCGCGGTGGTATAAGCGGTGGCGTGTATTTCTGGAGATAAACTTGTTGCCAATCGATACCACTGAAAAACGGGTGTTCTTTTAACTCGTCCGCACCTGCACCTCGACATCCAAGTCTGTTGTTGATATCTCGCTGTAGCAGACCTTCCAGCAATGAGCGCAATTCTCGTGAGAACGTTTCTGGCAGCTCTACGTTCTGAAATTATTTATTTTTCCAAATTTTAATATTTATCGTCTCGTGAGAAATTTTAAAGATATATTTTTTTCAAGCATTTGATCAAATATCTTTTTGTTCACGTATTAGAGTAGGGAAAAAATGGGAAAAGAGATTTTATGAGAAGGAGAAATAATTTATTAATCATTATCGTTAACTATTTCGAGAATAAAAGCATTTCTTTAAATCTTTAAAGAAAAAAAGGAGTGTCGAAAAAAGAAGATCATTTGATCAAATTTGCAAATACACTTGCGATGCAATAATTTATGCATGAAATAATACGCGAAGCATCTTAATAACGCACCTTGGTTAATGTCATGTGATCTATTTCATGTTTGTCTTTAGTTTTATGTTGTCTGAATGGACTATGACCTTTCAACAATTTATGCAGCATACAACCGAACGAGAACCAATCGGCGCTGGAATCGTAGGTTACACCTTTCGAAAGCACTTCCGGTGCCATGTATCCGTGCGTTCCTCTGAAAAAATATTTTTCATCATTTACACGAAAATATACGACGACAAATATTCAAAAAAAAAAAAAAAAAGTTTTAATAGAAGATTCGATGGATAAAGAAACGATTTTTACCGTTAATCCTAATTACTTACACGCTTGCATGCGGTTTCTTTTTGGAGAAATCGCAAGCTAACCCCAAATCCGATATTCTTACGTGGCCATGCTCGTCCAGAAGGATATTGGCCGGTTTCAGGTCTCGGTAAACGATATATCTGCGGTGCATGTGTTCCAATCCCAATATCACTTCTGCCGCGTAAAACTTCATCTCTCGTTCGTTGAACACTCCGTGCTGGCTTAGATGGTAATGAAGATCGCCACCGTTCATCAGATCCAGAATGAAACACAATTTGTCCGGCGTTTGGAAGGCGTACGTCATGCATACTATAAATGGACAATCGACCTGCAATAAACGTTCAATTATATTCCTTTCTTTTCTTTTAACGTTAATCAAGAAAGAATGGAAATATAAAGTGAAAAGTTATATTATTTATACGCTAGTTATATATATATACTAGATTTTTTTTTTAAAGATTAAAATCGTATTTTTAAGACGTTATTAACATCGTTGTGTTAAAGCTTACTCCGGTACTGACTGCCGAAAGCATTATCCTTTCGTTGAGCGCTAAAGTTTCGCCTTGCTTCATTTTTATTCGTTTCTTGTCAAGGCATTTCATCGCGTACATTTTTCCCGTGTCTGCTTTTCGACACCCGTAAACTTCTCCAAATCCGCCTCTTCCTATTATTCGATGTACACTGAAGTCGTTCATTGTCAGCTGAAACAGGGTTTCGTTCAACGAATATTTCCACGCATTTTTTTAACATCGTTACATCATGTAATTTTTTTTTCGAAAATTCGATAACGTGTATATATATATATATTTTTTTTTTTCAAAATTTTTTTCGAAATCAAAATATTTTCTGCGAAATTAATATTATAAAAACGTGTTTATTTTCATGTAAATTTGTACGGTAAAGATAAATGCCGCGATCGTATCATCAGAGAACATTTGTACGTAATCTTTGACTAGGGAATAATTTGCGTTACAAAAACAATTTTTAATCGTACCTGCATGTTCAATTCTAAGTTTTTCCATTGGCAAAATCGCGTGTACTTCTCGCTGAAAAAATATAAAACGGCATTTCTTAGCAATATTTCAAAAAAAGAAAACCTGAGTAAGAGGCTGGGAGGAGGCACCTGGACATTGGGTTCTCTTTCATTTCGTCCACAACATACCTCTCGAGAAACTTTTTGAACGGTTCCGCTCTCAAGTGATTAAAAATCTCCTCGATATACGGCTGTAAAGTGAGCATCCGGTTTAAAACAGAACGAAAAAAAATTGCGTCTCGCGTTATTATTTCTTATTAATATCGTTGGGATTCGATTAAGAAAAGATTAGGAAAGGACCAACCTCGAACAAATTAACGGGAACCTCGTTTTTCATAAGGTATTTATGAACGTGGGACACCGCTTCCGACGAGTATTCCTGAAATCAAAAACGTATTTCCTACTGATTAAAACGATAACATCGGCACTGTCTTCGTTGTACAAAAAAAAACATCCCTGAAAAAGATAATCTCCCTTACGTAAGATGATGAAGAGACAAAATTCGATACGAAATTTCGATACGACGTGAGTAATTTCACAATTATTTAACTTTTTAATTTCCATCTAATATGATGATAAATGCACGTAATTAAACAACGTGATTAAACATCTTAATAATTTTTATATATTCTCGAAAAGATTATCTTTTTCAGAGATATTCTTCTATACGCGATACGCATGATCAACGAACGTGTGCGGCGATCTACGACAATGCTGCTCAAAGCCGTTCATCACTTTTTTTTAAAAAAGATTTGGAACAATTTATTTGGACAATTTTATTTACGTTCAATTTGAACGAGTGGATAAGATCACGTTTGTGAATAAACAACGTGTTATTTTTAATCAGCGTCATCGTAGATTTGAAAAGTCGTGAATAGAATTTTCTTCGTGATTAAAATACGATACACATTATTTGGAGGTTAATCTCAGAATCCGGAACTCGTTCAACGATTTATCAACATTTTGAACTTCGAACTTTGATCAACGGTCGATAAAGAATTTCTTATTGCCGATACATATATAACAATTACAATTGTTGAAATCAATTTTGAAAAACATAAAACGGAGGAAATTCACGGATTTATATAATAATAGAAATATCGAAAATCCAAATATTATTAACTGATACGTGGACGAATATTAATATTAATATTCGAGCGATTATTCGTTCGTGATAAAAGATGGTTTACGCAATTGGGATCTTGCCGTAATTCTCGAATAGATAGAAAAGAATCACGCGACATGTTTATTTATCGTTTTATTTTTATTCTTTTTAATGAAACCGTGCTGCTTCTTTTTTTTTTTTTTTTTTTTTTAATCGAGCGATTAGAGTTTGGATAAATGAAATTTTACTACTTCGTTAATGTTACGTAAACAATGCTCGAGTCGCGATGAAGAAATAAGTATTTCATCCGAAATATCGTTTTATCGCTTTCATAATTGAAACTGCGATAAAATTTCCACGCGCACTCGAATTAAAATCTTTTAAAGATGATCGTTAATCATAATAAATAAATCATTTTTCAAATTTCATGACAGCGATAAAAAAAAAATATAAAAAAAATTTGAATACAACGTTTAATTACAACAATATTGACATTGATAAATTCAATGTTGTTATACGAATCAAAATTTTTGCGCAAAAAGTTTGAGTAGACTAGTCGTCTTAATAAAAGTACTAATAAAAGACAAGCATTCTTAAACCGAGTAACCAATTATTTCCATTGGTATATCGGTCGGTAAGTATGTGTGTATATATATATATATACATAGAGAGATTTCGGGCGATGGAAGGTTGGAAATTTTTGTCACGCTGTTGCACATTTGTCGTTGGCAAATTGACCGTGTCAATAGAAAACTCGCGTTAACAAAGAAGATGGTGTCGAAGGGGTGTCGAAGGGAAAAATTGTAAGCACGATTAAAGGCGAGGTTAAAATTAGGGGCAAAGCAACGGGGGGAAAAGTAGCGTGAAAAAAGGCACGGAAATAGTTTCTCTTCCGAAGACATCGAGGGCCAGAGATTAGAAGCCCTGCTGCGCCATGAAAAGACCTATTCGGAATTCTCGTTCAAACATTCATGCGAGCCGACCTAAGGAAACGAGAAAAACGCTTCCTGCTTTTACGCGCGGTTTTCTTTTTCATCGTTTCGGAAAGCGATTTTCCTTTCCTCTTTCACCGGTTCAAAGATAAAAAGCGTCACTTTTTCTTCTTCTTCTTCTTCTTCTTTCTTCTCTTCTTCTTCTTCCTTTATATTTCTCTTTTTTATATCAACAGTTTTTTATACACAAACACACACGTGCGCGCACGAGTTTGAAAAGATCACGGGCGTTTCAAGGTGATATTCCACATTTAGAAAAGTAATTGCTAATTCTTCTGCCGATTCGTTGACAAATTCTTAAAGAAATATTTCATATTTTTCAAGTATGAAGAAATATTCTGTACGTGATTATTTTTATACAATCGTTACACGTGTACGCTTACATTTACGCGTATACAACGCTATATCGATTGATTTTCACTCGATTCACGTATCCATATAGTAGAAATAAAATTCTACGCGTTTATAAGTATTACCCGATAAAAGGATCTTCCCTCCGTGAAATTGTAATCCGTTCGAAGGCAAACTCGATCGAACTGCGATTATCGGATAATCAAATAATTTGGAAGAGAAACCGGAGAAAGGAGGAAGCCGCGACGAGAGGCAACGAAGCAGATGTTTTTATACTCACATGGGAGTGTGCCAGCAGCTCCTTCATGATGAAATTGTCGTAGATCTCTTTGGCAAGTTTTCTCCTCTCTTCCGGGCATTCGAGTTTCTCGTACGCCTTGATCTACAATGCATAAATGAGAAATTCCTTATGGAGTTGGATGGCGAGGTGCGTGCCACCACGCTACTGGAACTTAAATAGTGTGTGTGTGTGCGGGCTAACACGAACCTCTTCGTAAAACCTAAGTTGCGGAATCGGCTCCTCCGCCACATTCTCGCAGTAGTCTTTGAATAAGAGGTAACCTGCAATCACACGAAACGTAAAAGAGGAGGGGAAAAAAAAAAAAAAAAAAAAAAAAAAAAAAAAAAAAAAAAAAAAAAAAAAAAAAGGAAAACGACGCACGCTTCGATCCTTCATTTTCACCGATTTTCGCTCGTCTTAAACGATTCTAAAACTTCTTTATCCCTTATTCACGTACAGAAAAATAAAATTTCGCGTGCCACGAGTTTCATCTTAAGCAACGGATGTCGGTAAAGAAGGGGTCGAAACTGCTTTATCCGGGACAAGCTTAATAAGTGAATCGCCGCCCTATTTTAATTCACCTACTTATAAATTACAACGTTAATGAACTAAAAAAATACGAATGTCGGTTTGATTCTTCGATTTTTCTTTTTTTAACCTCGAAATCATTCGTCGACGACGTGTTATTATGAAATAATAATAATTGGGATAACACGATGTTTGAATTAAGTAAAATTAGAATTGTATCAGTAATGTAAGAATATAATTGATCGCTTTCGTGTTACGATATCGACAAATGACACAAATTATCTAAACCTTGTTAAGTTATATAATTATCCGGCCGACAAACGCTAATTAGAGGCGGAAAATTGTAGCAGAAGTTGAAAAAGTTCTCGTCCACAGTGCCACTTTAAGAAAGAAAGAAACAAAGTGTAATTAAGAAGCAAAACGTCATTCGATCTATATACGTATATACACATATGGAAACGTCAACACACGCTCATTCGCCACAACTTCCGCCTGATTCGACGGAAATTCACAAATTCCACGAATTCTTTTTTCAATCTTTTTTCAAATTTTAAATCGGACAATAAAAACTCGATTTCGAAAAATTGCACGAATTTTAAATTAACGTTAAATAATTTTTTCCCATCATTTCGAAATATCTTTTTTCTATCAAACGTTTATAATAAAATATTTATTATTATTACCTTAACTTTAAACGACGCAAAAAGAAAAAAATTTATTAGTTCGTCAAACGATAAAGACGTTTATTAAATGAAATGTCTTCTTCTTTCTTTTCCATTAAACGTTACATTTAAACGAATCTTATTTTAATCCAACCGTCAAAATCGATAATTTTCTCTCGAAATTAAGATCGAACCGCTTCAAGTTGACAACGAAGAGAAGAAGATTAAAAATCAAAATCAAAAAGCTGTTGTTCGATCCTTAAGAGTGATGAAACGACGGATGACGCGTCGAAATTCGAATTGGATCGATGAGAAAAATTCGTATCTGGTTTATATACCATATATCCGTGGCTTTGATCGCGATAATTAAGGCCAACTGCGAAAATCGGATCGTTCTAAAAATTTCATTTCGATTCTCGTCTAAGCGGGGCTCGTTATCCGAATGAAATGGGAAGAAATGCGTTTTGTCGATCAATCGGTGCACAGTTCAATGAGCATTGCAAAAATTGATTTTCAATTCTCTTTGCCGGCAGGCTATAATTACGCGTAAAAAGCGGAGATATTATCAGACCAAACTATACTTAGAGGAACGGAGAAATGATCTGTGCGCAATGCGAAAACAAAAAGTTCATCGCAAGCATTGATTCCCCCCCCCCCCCTCTCTTTTTTTCTTTCATGCAACAATAATTCAAACGCCCGGAATGGAAGTCGAATTCTCGAATTACGAAAAAAAATCATGATTTCGAAAAATCCAAAAGGTAAAAGAATATTACGTATTTATCCTCTTCTCTGTTATTCTCTTCGAAATATCGATCGATGTCGACCTTAACTTTCCTTAATTCTCCCTAATTCGAATAATCGAATTAAATAATTTTCTTGGAATTTTTCCCTGGAATAATTAAAATATTTTGATAGAAATGGACAGAGACATCATTCCTATCCACGTGTCTTAGTGATAATCTTTCCGTTAACATTCTGTCAAATTCTAAGAAATTAATTACAAATTACTCGGACGAAAATTCGCGAATCGAATCTCAACGATTTCGAAGGAATTTCGGTATTACCTATAATCTATAACTCAGTTCAGATCTCTCCGTACGGACGAGTTGAATTGGATTAAATTCGAAACGATATCGAGAATGTGTGGTTTCTCGAAGAAATCGTATCCGGTATACGTTTGCGCCCTTGCACGAATAATCGATAATTCCAGGATCACCGAGTCAGTTAACAACAAAGTATACTTGAAAATTGCTCACCAAACATTTGATTGAATATTTTATCGAAGTTAACTTCCTTCTTCTTTTCCAGATATTTGTGCATTACGCTTCTCACACTGCAACAGAAAGAAGTACGCGAATGTAACGGTTACATAATTATATACATATATATATATATACATATATATATATATATATAATTTATCGTCGTATATATAATTAATTCGATCGTATAAATACTACGGAGAAAAATAATTATTTAAGGATGATCGAAATAAGGGGAAACCACGGTATGGTTCAAGGTCCGGGTCTAAACGATTTTTTTAAAGTGAATGTTATTTCAAAAATGATCTTTCTTCGAAATGGCGGTATCGGAATATGGCGAGCACGAAGTTGCGAATGGACGCGAAACCTCGCATCCTTTCGTGTACCGATTATCACGATACCTTACAAGCGTTATAATCGAATATTTCTCCGAAACGATATTAAAATCGCACGCAGTAAGTGAGATATTTTCGTTTCTCGAAGAAAGTCGGCTTTTTTCCCTCCACTCTTCGTCGGTGGATTAAAACGTCGATATAAACGCGATCTGTCGTATTAAACGATAATTCTGTCGCGTTTTTTCTTTTTTTTCTTTTTAGAAAGAAAATTCGAAAAAAATGTAAATTTTTCGAGCGAAAAGTTATTTTTTTTAAAAAAAAAAAAACAGCCGTGCATTATATAAAATCGAAACTGCTTTGTTATAATCGCAACTGCAGATCTAATTGCTCTTAATGCACCATTATTCGACCTGGTACACGCGATTTTCCTCCTTCCTCAGGCTATTCCTTCGTCGTATTTACGACACTTTTTCCTTCTTCTTTTCTCTTTTCATCACGAATATCTTTTATTAAATCCCTGTAAAATCGTTTGAAATTTTATCGCGTATAAATGTTAAACGATGATTAATTCGTAACGAAAGAAACGCGCACTTATTGGATAACTTCGTACACTGGATACAGCGGTTTGATAGAGTTTCTCGTTCAAGCGTGCTTAACGCGTTTAGTCCGCGTTTCTATTGGAGGAATCGATTACCACCGAGCGATGAAAGATGATATCTTTCCACTTTACCGAGTATAAATTATCCTTGTTATTATTATTCGCTAAACTTTCGAGCGAATATGTCAATATTCCGCGAAAACGTCTATATTTTTTTTGTGAGTATTCCAGCAACCGTTATATATAAACGTTTCACGCGAATTTTGTTGCATCGAAATTTTCTTTTGCTCGAGATCTTGAAATTTTTCTCGATATTGCATCGTATAGTTAAGAAAGAAAGGAAAAAAAAAAATCGATTTACGATCGACTATAATATATATTAACGACTATAATAAGGTGACTTTGAGTTAACCTTGAGCGTGAAAACAAGACGACCTACCGAGAGAATTGCACTTTTGGCACACATTCGCCGTTAACGTTCATGCGAATTCTCGGTAAGTTTTCAAAAGGAAAATTACTTAACGAGTAAATGTTTACGAAGCATGGTCGAATAATTGGGTAAAACATCGTTAGCAAAAAATCGTCGGTAAAAAAAGACCCGCGTCTATTCGGATAATTCGAGCATGGAATAACGATAGAGACGTGTAGCGTGGCATTTTTTTAACTTGGGCGGGACACCCTATACATACACTTGGGATCGAAACAATTCTCGGCTAACTCGCTTTGACCGGAGAGGAAACGATACCAACGATGGTTAGTTAACTATCCGATTACGATACGCGGATTTGCGATTGTTCATTGTCGTTGGTATAACATAATGCCGATATTGGATCGCACACACCCTACGAAAGCCGATAATAATTAAATCAAAATCGATCGAGGGAAAAAAAATGGTTTTTTTCTATTTAAACAACTGATCAAAAACTTATTTCTTAAATCTATTATTTCAAACGTTTTGTGTTTCGAATTCTAAAGAGAAAGCGCGCGAGGAGTGTATGTCGAGAAATCGAAAGAGAGAAACCGAGTCGGATTGTTCTCGGTAAATTTGTAACGCTCCGGCATTCCATTCTACCTTGTTTCAAAGCTAGAAGTTGTTTGTTGAAAAACGGTAAAAGAATTCTTCCACGATACATACACACCGCAAAAATAGACCATCAATTTTCGTATAGGCAATATCCGTTCCGCGTAACAAGAAGCGATAGAAGACAAATCCATTTTAACGGTTATAGATTCGTTATGCCAGCTAATCCGATAACTTAAGTGAAATACGTGTGTCTTGTTAGTCACAAGACAAATACGTATCTAACTAACGATAAGTTTTCGCGCGCTTACAATTCCTTTTTTGTTGTATGAAAAAAAAAAAAAAAATTAAAATTTACTAAATTGAAAAGAAATAATCGATGCTACGCGATCCATATTATATTTGGAATTTCTTCTATACTCGATCTTTATCTCGAAAGTTCTCGAATGACCTCGACGACGAGTCCGTTAATTTGGCAACCATGTATTACGTTATACGTTTCCCTTCGCGTTTTGTAAATGGATACGAACGGCCGTTTTTTCTCGCCGTTACATTAAAGTATCGCACCAAAACGCGATAGCAGTATGAATTTCCATCGATAATTTTTTATCGTTATATTTTATACATTTACGTACAGATACGAATACGATCGAATAATATCGGGTATAGTGTATACATTTTCACGAGAAGTGAAAAGCTCAAAATATCGTTTGAGAGATTAAAATGTTATTTGAAATAAACGCTTAAGAAACAAAAACGAGAGGAGAAGAAAAGATCGGGTGAACGATTCTGTCAATGAAAGAACGATCGAGGCAAACTTCTCGAAGCGAAGGAATCCATTGCTGGACAAACTTATTTGCAGGCTCGGCCACGATGGATGAGTATACGATAGCAAACGAACCTGTCCATTAGTCCATTCTTCGGTAACAAGATCCTCGTATCCGGCACATCGATGTCCCGCGTACGTAAACGCAACTCATCCGTGCCATCGTTCTCGTTCAACAAATACCAACACGTATGAATAGGCCGGGAGAAATATACGCGATATATTTTCATCGAAGAAAAAGAAACGAACATATAACGATAAAACGTATCCAACTAAAATACATCGATAGAAATCGAGACAGAAAAGACGACGTCGATAATCTCGTAACTGGTCGATTTGCTAATATTATTAGTTGATAAATGGTGGTGAAAGAGAGAGCCTTGAAGTGATATTATCGTGAAAAGCTTGGGGGAGAGGGGAAACCGATGTTTTCGCATCATTGCACCCTCGAGGATATTCCCGTCCTATTAAAGTGAGAGAAGAAATGGAGGAACGGGATACAAGATAGAGAGAGTGAGTGAGAGAGAGAGAAAGAGCGTTTTGCGCGTAGACAAAAAACGTACGAACGAATCGTTGGATCGTTAACCTTTACGAGGAGAGTTACGAGTTGTTTAAATTCTTGCAAACACGTATGCAATCGCGTATAAAATCGAAATTGTAAATTTTCCAATGTGTGTTCCTCTCTTGACGGGAGAGATAAGGTACAATAACGCGAATGGTATTATCAACGATAATATCTATCTCCGCTCGCGAATGCACGCTGTTCAAGTTTTCGAACGAGTGTGCGAACGTTACGAGATAAATCTGTTTGTATACGCTCTCTTTTCGCATTGCATAGCAGTGTGTAGAGTTAAAATTAATGTCGGATAATCGATTCGTCGAGGACCACCGGTGCAAAACATCGATTAAATCTGTATTGACATGTGGACCGATATGTGTATCGATAGTGTCTGGTTATCGAAATGTCGATAATCTATATAGCACCGCTACGCGTATCTATTCTAATTTATAACGCACAGAATGCATCTGGCTTGTTGCTTTATTCATTCAGCTTGGGTTAATTCCGATAACACGCGACAAATATTTGATTTGATTTTCAAGAAGAATGGAAAGAGAGAGAGAGAGAGAGAGAGAGAGAGAGAGAGAGAGAGAGAAGAAAGGCGAGAACAGCTCTTCAGATTGGATGTTTGCCGAGGGATAATCGGTAGAAGAGGAGCGATTATAGGACGGAATTCGAACGATCGACCGAATGATCAATTGAAACGACCGCTTTGCCTTTTGCGGCAAACACGGCAAGAAAATAATCTAAGTGGATAATCTGTATTGCTCACTCGAGGGAATGAATTTATTGCGGTTAACTGATGCTCGTTACTCGATTATACGTGAAACACTCGTCGGGAAACGCTTTCCAACGGAATATTTCGTGTATATATCGTTTGCGTGTCGTTGTGCGGTTAAAGAATTCGGTTATTATTATTATTATTCTCATCGTCGAAAAACCACAGGGTCTATCGCGAGGAAACAAATTTTACGATTTTAAAACTCGCTCGAATCTTCCTAACTTTTTCGTTTCAAATCGTATCACAAGTGTATACGTGCGTGTATTCGGAAACAAACGGTTGGAAAAAAGTTTTTTTGAATATAGCGGTGGAACGCGGCAATTTGGCGGTTAGAGAAACGCCATAAATCTTGCTTGCTTGATATCACCGCTTCGCTCGGTCCCTTAAAACTTTCTTCCTTGTTAAAGGGGATAGGAAACGAGATGGAAGAATAAATCGGAGATACGCGGACGAGGTCGTTCACTTCCGGGATCAATTTCCTCGATTAACGCGGACACGCTTCTGCTCTTCTTCCGCTATATAGCGCAGAGAGACCGTTTCGTCGGTTTCAGAATATCTATTCTGTGCATGTGTGCACGAATACGGGACGTGTGTGACAGACACGTAACGTATAACGCGGGCGTTCTTATAATCGAGAGAGCAATCGAGTGCTCTCGCTCGTTTAAAATTTTATAATATCTTGTTTCTCTCTCTTTTTATTAGTTTTTTTTTTTTTTTTTTTTTTTTTTTTTTTTTTTTTTTTTTTTTTTTTTTAATTAATATAATCTAACCAATAATCTCTCCATATTCCTCTCACTCGGCAGCCGTGTGATCCATTTGCGGCGAGTCGACGATGAAACGATTCGAGCTTCGCACTTCCACGAAATCTTCTTTCGGTTTACAATGGGTTTTCGAGGAACGCAGTCTCATTTTGCACGCTGCAAAAATGAAACGATTATGGAAAATTTATAA